AAAGGCTAATGTGAAAAATGTGCTTATGTCTGTTAGGAAGAGAAAAATCTGTACAAGCTGACATGCTATATATATGTGTGAGTATGTTATGCTTTGCACGGTCCCCTTTCATACTGTGGATGGTATTTTTTGTGGATATTTTGTGTTGGCCTCTATCAGTTTTCACCTGGTAGCTGAGAAGATTTTGTTTTCTGAATCAGTGTGAGTCTCCTGGAAAGCTGTATTACCAGACCTGCTTCAGATGTTCCAGGTATTTAAATATTTAAGCTTCTCAGATATTTGTGGCCTATATGTCATTTGTAACAAATTCATCAGCTAGTGGGTGATCTGTTTACAGAACATTCAGAAATAGATATTCAGTCTTAAGAGAACGGCAAATAACTTATTACCCAATTTCATGAAATTTTGGCAATTCCTTAAGGCTTAATAACAAAGAATGAAGGATAATATCAAGTGGGGGAGTTGAATAAACCTGAGAGCTGTTCAAAGCAAAGTAACTGTGAACTATATCAGAGCATCTCCAGGCAGCGGAGTCTCTTTCTGAGTAAAGGGCGGGGGAGTTAATTTCCCTGATTCTCTCCACACCTCTACAAAGCACTTCACCATCATGTCTAGGTGTCTCAGTGGTGCAGCAGAGCCCAAGAGCTCTACTCATGTTCCACCTTCTGTTTTCCCCAGTCAGGAAGGGATGCTTGCTGATGTGGTACCCAGAAACGCATAAAAAGGCTGGAAAGAGAGATCTGGTTTGGCAAAGCCTTTAACATTAAAAGCTTCCATATTTTTGTTGTAGCAACCTAGGAAGTTTCCCAACAAAGTTGCACATGGAAACTATTGCATTTCCAGTGTCAAAACGGGGACGCAGCGTACAGGAGCTGTACGGTGAGCTGTAAGGCCTTTAAGCATATCAGGAGCTGTTCAGGACCTGTTCAGTTGCACAGACTCCTGTGGTTTGCATACATAGTACAAGTCTCACTTTTCAGTGGGGTGTGCATGGTGCGCATCATGGAATTGGTAGGGGAGCTCCAGGATCATCATCTCGTGACACACTCGAGCTCTGCAACTTATGAATCATTAGCGGGAAGTTCTTGTGCATGGCCACCGAAGTACTTCAGCCTGACTTCATGAAGGGCTCATGGAAAGCAGTCCTCTTACTGCAGTTCTGTGCTTTGTGTAAGCAGACAAACAATATTCTTCTGAGCAAGTTAAATATTCTCGGAATTTTCTTGTCATGTCACGATAAAGGGTGTGTGTAATTAAGCAAAGTCTCAGAGCAGTTGAATTTATGAATTTAATGAAGAGTTAAAGGTTATATAGCTAGACAAGTTCATTTTCCTGTTTGTGTGTTTGTTTTTCTGAGAGATGTAGTTCGTATACAAGTAACTGTAGCAGGCACTGACTTTATGCTAAGTTTATTTTATGTAATACTCTTTGTCACAAGTGACAAAGCTTTATTTCAGCCTTGTGGCTTGTCGAGGCAGCCATCCCTACAAAGGGGAGTTGCACTTGTATGTTTTCATCTTGCCTCTGTTTGTTTGTTTTTTTTAATGTCTAGTTTTGAAAGAATTGTCAGAGCCTTTGGAAAGTTGATGCCAGAGCTGCCTCTCCTTAGCAAAACTCCAAATGATGATGTTTTCAGTGTGCCACTCGCTTCTGGTACCAGCGCTGAAGCTGCAGCACGTCCAGAAATCACTGCCCTATTAGGCCTGGGAATTCGAACTCAAGGGTAGCAGTAAATGCCTTTCTGAAAGAGCTAGTTTTGCACCAGTGTGAGCGTGAGATGAAGCTTAATTTTCTTTGTTGTTTTCCTATGGAAGACAAGTAAAAATGAAGAACATGTTGAAAACATGGTGCTTTTCATTTGCAAAGGTCCTAATTAGCATTTTGCCTGCATGCGGTGCAGTATAATCAGCACTGGTTGCTGTCAGAAAATTCATGAGTATATAGCTTTTGCTCACTAGTCCAGTAGGTAGAAGCAAGCAATTATGGTGACAAATAGCAATTTTTTTTCTACAAAGAGTATGATGGAAAGAAATTGCTTTGCAATGTGAATAGTCAAAGTGTAAGTTGTCAGAAAAGTCTCATTTTAGGGCCAAATCTTTGGATGGTGTCTCAGGAGCTTAATTGTCTCTGTATGGTTTTCCCCTTCTTTCTTGATCCTGAGAATAGCTGTTCTTGGTTACAGAGCAAGTCCCTCCTTGATGCTTTTGGCTGGCTTTCTTGTTTTGTTTTTGTTTTGAAGGAATTCCAAGAAATTCAGGCAGAAGAATGCTCCAGTAAGGAAAACTCAAAGGTAAACTTCTCTGGCCATCCCTTTATTCTTGGAAATAAAGGGAAAAAGGTTTTCCTGTTATCCTCTTGGTCTGCTCCAAAGGGTGCATACAGTGCGTTGCCATCTCACCAAAGTCAGGGGACAGCACCAGGGAGACTTGGGGGAGGCTGAGACTCAGCAACAGGCACTGAATCCCAAAGGGCTTCATTCAGTTCCTCTGAAGATAAAAACTATCCCTCTAAAACAGGGGCTGATATTAGGGATCAAAAGCAGGAATGGAAGATTTTGATAGGAAAATGTAACATTTGACATAATGGTTATCACTTCCTGGAGAACTGCCAAGTTGATGAAGCCCCAGAGAGTGTGAGATCAGGAAGAAAAATAGACTTGAAATTTCATACTGTCTCATATTGTTACTTCTGAAAAGTAAGCAATTGTGTTTTCTTGGGAATCGCTTCATGAGTACCGGTGCTGTTGCTGGTCTGAAAGAAGTCCCAAGGAGTAATTGCAGGCACAAGGCGGAGGCAATTGATTATTTTGAATGGAATCTTTAAAAGATTTTTTCTTTCTTAAAAAAGGTCCAAATCAACTGCACATCATGTTTTTGCTTTTTCATACAAACTGGTTTGTTCATGATCTGTTCATTTCCACCTCCCATCCTATACTGTACAATATGTTCTGAGGGAAATGCCAGGCAGTGCAACGTGAACATTTTTGAATGTTGTTGTCCAGCCATAATACACCTATTGCTTTACTCCTCTAAAGAAACTGTCAATTCTTACTTGAATATATTCATAACTTCACTTCAAGTAAACTTGCTCAAATCTGTTTTCTAAAATGCTGCAAGGCATTTCTGTAACTGAATAGTGACAATGAGTAAAACCAGAAACCTAAAGGATCCCTAAATATAGCTTATTATCCAGGCACTTGGGGAGTTAGATATGCCTATGCTGAGCACAGTCTCAAGTTAAGGACTAGGAGTTTGGCTTGCTTTATATTTTTAAGCAGTGTTAAAATGTTAAAACAAGAAAATGGTTTGAATGCTAGAATCTTTGTTTTTAAATGTGTCTTTGGATTCTGACCTTGTTTTTTGTTATTTCTGTGGATTTCTTAATCTCCTGTATTCTTCTGGTACTTTTGCAAGCTATATTCTGAATATTTCCTATTGGTGATTTTCAAAAACTCACCAGAATGAGAAATACCCAAACTGTAATTTCTGGAAAAGTAAATTGGTCAGCAAAGTGGATGTAAGAACCAGCCAGTCTCCAGTAGGGCACTTGTGGTTTGTTTTGTTTTTAAAAACAACCAAAATGTTTTCTCCAGTGCCAGTAAGGTTTCCTGCTAAAGGGCAGTTCTGCAGCACCACCTCGGGTTAACTCTTGCTTTGAGTATCCTGGGAGACCGGGCGAACTCCTGAAAAGTAAATTGCGCTTCGGTGTAAGAGGAGAAAGAAGGAAAAGAAAAAAAAAAAAAAAAAAAAAAAAAAAGTGGGTGAGTTGGATCACTGTCTTTTATGAAAGATAGAAACTAAATTTAGACCCCTGTGTTTCCTGAGTAAAGGTGGCCTGCTTTCCACACGCCGAGCCCAGGCTTCCCCCAGAAGATGCTGCTCATCTTGCCGCGTCCCTCGGAGCCGCTGAGGGCTCGGGGTTCCTGGCGGGGTGCAGGGGGCTTTGGGCTCGCCCTACAGCCGGGCCCCCCAAGCTGCCCTTCTGCATCGTTGCGGGGTGCCAGGGCCCCAAGGGCTGCGGGCACCCCCTGCACCCACGGCCCCGCCGCCCCCCCGCGCAGAGCTGGCGGCGCCCGGCCCCCGCTGGCGGAGCGTGTCGGGAAGGAGATGAGATGAAATGAGATGAGATGAGATGAGCGTAATTTGGTTGGCGAGCGGGGAGGGTCTGCGCTGCTGCTGCTCCGGCGGTTGGGTGGCTGGGATTTCTCTTTCTTTTTTTTTTTTCCCCTGTCATAAGGAGCCCACGGTTTCCATAGGTGCTGGCAGACAATGGAGCTGGTGTGATTTGCACGGGAGGAGCTGATTAACAGAGTTGTGTGCTGCTTTATTTAACAACAACAAAAAAAAAAAAAAAAGGAGGAGGGGGGTGCGGGGAAGGACTGCCGTTCCTGTGTGATGGGATCATAGCACTACTGGGGTTATAGGCAGTTGTTGTTAGATCTGATTGAGATAATTGCTTGTGTTTTCCCAAGTTCTGCAAGCTCTCAGGATGCTTTCCAAAGGTCCTTCAGAAACCTTAACCGGAATATACACACGTTGTTTGCCCAGAGGGCTATTAGAATGGCCTAAAATAGCCAAAAGGAGAAGTGGGATTTCTGTGTAATAACAGCTATCCCAGTAGCATTGGAGACTTTGGGAAAGACAAACTGCCATCAGGATCAAAAGCCTATGTGAATTTGTAGCCTTTGTGCGACTGCCTCTTTGTATTAAAGTAGGATACTGCAACTGTGCAGGTGCCGTGCCATGTGCACGACTAGCTGCATGCATTGGTAGCAATTAGGAACACTTATGCTGCAGCAATAAGGAGAGGAGTGTTGGATTGGATTTGAGTCATTCAAATCATAACAAAAAGAAGTCTTGTGTTGTTAAAATCTAGCTGCAGACTACAGTTGCTGCAGTACAAGTATATGAAAATGCTGAAGCTAAAGGCCTTCTGCTTGGATTACTGGCAGTTTTTGTGTCTCCAGCCTCTTCATGGTTTCTATAAAAGGTAAGAGAACATTAACTCTGAAATTCTTTTCGGAACTGGGTGGCTGCACACGATGCCACCAGTGCTTTTACTTGCTGTTCTACTCTACTGCTGAAAGGCAAATATGCACGGGAAAAGGGAGTGGTAGAGAATTAATGAGAACTTGTGACAAAGATTGTAAAGCTGCTTTTTTATTGCATCAATTATCAGCCACTTTTGTCTCTGCGTGCAGATGTGAAAGGTGGTGATGCTGTTTGGTTTTAACGTTTGCTTTAAGTCAAATCATCCCAGCTAAGACTCAATTAATACTTTATTCTCTGGTATTTTATCCTTAGGCACAGACGCCTGTGCTGTGTAGTTTACAGACTGTAAATAGTACTAAGAGATTAATTGAAATGTCATGGAAATTTATGTAATGCATAGATAATTTATTTTATTTTTTTCTTCACGGAGGTATTTAGTAGTATAATAGTTTATCTTTGGTTTCCCTCGTGGCGCACAGCGTGCATCGCAGTCATTCAGAGCAGTGGGCACTTCACTTAGGCAGGTCTGACGTACGGCTTAAATGATTGATGGTGAATAGTGATCATAAAGAATAGGACGGGGTGTCAGATGCATTGAGCTTGCCTATTTAATGGAACAGCAAAATAAGCAATTCCATTTAACGTGTCCCTGAACTTACCCTAATGCTTTTTAATCCAAACTTCTGTTTTCTTGCTCTTAATTTACGCTAGCAACCAATGGGACTTATGTGTATCTGAATTTTCTGGGGAAAAGTGGAGATCATTTCATTGTTAACAAAAACCATGCAATTTAAAACAGGATTCTGTTCTTGTTATGTACACTTTCTGGTCTGACTGTCTATTGTCAGCCTACAGAAAGTGCTTTGTACTAAATGCTAATTGCAGTTGAATTTTTCATGCAGTGACTGAAGGCTGGCAAAGGAACTGTTCCAATCTTTTTCAAGGTTTAAGGGGTGCCCCCCACTTTCTGGCATTGAGTAATACAGGACCCTCATCTGTGACCATTGGCTAGTGAAGTTTCAAAAGATAGCTTTATTGCCTTGCAGTTTTTCACAGGTTTCCTTTCGAAGTCAGAAAACTTCCAACCTATTCCTAGCCCCTCGCAGTACCTTCCTTGCTGAGAATCCGTATAAAATAACAGAAATACAGCCAGACTGTTTTGATGCGAGCAAATACAACTGGACTAAAGGTTTATGTCCTGAATTCCTGGCAGCCTCCCAGCTTTGTTGCCAATGAATTACCCTGGAGTTGTTCTGCATCTCCTAATGGAAACCTCGGCAATACCTAAGGACTTTCCATTTACTTCCTTCCAGACAGTTAATTTGTTTGTCATCGAAACCTAGATGTGCTTAAGCCCTCCTCCTGGAGTATTTGTATGAACAGAAGTAAAAGGAGGTTAAGCACTTAAATATCAGGTGGAAGTACTTCACTCTCAGCATTCTGAGAAAAGGAGAATTGAAGGGAAGTTGCAGTTTTGTCATATTATAAGCAAAATAATTTCTTGCTTGGAGCAGAGTGGCAAATGAACATGAATAGCAAATGGTCCAGAATGAATAACAAAACTAAATGCAAGGAAGATAAGACATAAAAGAAAAAGTATCTTTTTTGACACTTACTTTTAGTTACTTTTTATTAGTATTTGCAGGTTGTTTAAAACGCTCTTGGAAAAGAGCCAAGGTGCTGTGGGGAGAAATGTTGTGTGTGTCTCTATATGTTTTTAATTTTATGTATGAAATAAGGTAACCAAAACTGGACTTGAGTAACGTTTCCATCATACGAGTCATTATGAAATCTTAGTGTTTGCAGTAGGGCTATTGTCTGCCCTCCGTTATACCCTGTTCATGCCAGCAAATGGAGGCAGGAGCATAGTTGCGACGTCCTGGTACACCGCTCCCTTGTGCTGCTGTTGCTGGCAGCCAGCTGTGGCTCTGGGTGGAGAGGTGCAGTTGCAGGCGGTGAGGAAATAGTGCCAACCCCCTGAGCCTTCCCCCTGTGCACGTGGCACCGTGACAGCGCAGGACCTCTTGGGGTAGGCCCGGGAGGCTGTGGTGGAGCTGCTGTCGGGGCTGTGTGATCCTGATGCTGTGGGGTGGCTCGGGCCCGCTCAGCCCAGCGCCCTCACACACTCACCCTGAGCGAGCCGTACGTGACAAGAAATGTGACTGCTTTCTATTTCCAGCTGTGGGCTGCCTGAGCCTGGTGTGACTTTTGGTTTCAGTTGGAGCTGATGATGAAAACTACAGTAAATGTTTCTGGTCAGCTCAGAAGTTCCATGGCTGGCTGCTGTATTCAGAACTCAAGTTGTGTTTTTCAGACATTGTTACTCAGGGAAGTCTTATGGGGTCATGTCTGTGGCCTGACCTGGACAACTGTCATTTACGCTATAATTTTTGTGGTTTTAAGTTATAATTTTTGTCTTGTGCTGGGAGCTGCTTGCACAGACCTTTGCATCTCTGTTGATATTCATGGAGTCGAAGGGAGGTCCACGCAGGGCCTGTTTGGTCCTGCATTGTGCTGAGAGGTGTGGCAGGATGGGGCTGGCTCCTCATGCTGCTGTCTGGCACTTGTTTCTTCCTCAGACCCTTGGGAGCGGGACTGCTGAGAGGCTGAGGCTGGCAGTGGTGGAGCTCCATCCCTACTGCCCCGAGCTGTGGGGCTGGGAACAGGAGAGGGGCACGGGGCAAGTCACCTTCCCTGCCTGTATTGTAGTGCCTGGCAGGGTATCACAAGAAAGCAGTGGTTCTGGATGATGGGAAGGAGTGAAAACAGGACAATTTTTGCCTTCTGAGGTACCAGTTTTTGAACATAAGTTTATGAAGCGAAAGTTAAGTTCCAGAACTCTCTACCAAGCTGTGCGTGTGACAGTCCCAAAGAGAAACTCGGCTAAGGGCTTACACCCAGCCTGGAGCTACTGTACAGTTTTCAGTCCTTTGTGAGAACTGATTCAGTGATGTATATTTTCTCAGCACAGAAAGGGAAAGGGAGAAATAGAACAAAATAAACCAACTGTGCTTTTAGTCTATTTCATAAGTTCAGCTGCAACTCCAGTGGCCAGGCCTTTGCCCATCACGTGCACGTTCACAAAACGAAGTTACTGCCAGGTAATGGTGCCTCCAGTAACGTACATAAACTAACAGTCTGCTTTTATCTAAGTTGGGGCAGATTATATGGAGAAAACTGTGGGTGTTGGGGTAAAACCTGGTTCAAAAAGTGTTTGATCATTCATCTGTGGAAATCCAATTTCAGCTCCGTGTTGCCTTTAGCACTGGGTGCGTTTTGGTCTGTGCCATAACCCCTTGGTTAATTGCTGGTGTTCAGTGCCCTTTGAATACAAATACTGAAAGTGTAGAGATGAATTTCTATAATAGATTAAAGTGTAAGATGAGCAAATCACTGTAGGGTTTCTGTGGGATTTTGAGGATGAATGTCTCATGCTTGCTCAGTGGATTATTATAAAACCATGTGACTTCAGGTTTAACATGCGAAAGTGAAGATTTTCTTTAGCCAGTGGGTGCATCGTGCTGTGCTTCTGCCAGCTGGTGTGTAATAGCCCAAGCGAGAAATTGTTACCATTAGCATTGCATTAAAGATAAAGCACAAAGTGAGAAAATTTGTTCCTGGTGGTGAAGAAGATTATAATCTGTACTTTGGGAGGGGGATTCTTCCTCCCAGAATTTTTTCTTTTTGCTAAGACAAGAGTGTTTAAAAAGAAAAAGTGCTAAATTTGTAAAGGTTACTTTACTGGAAACTGGTTGCCTGACAAACAGCACAGTTTTTAAATGAGAACTTTTCAATTTTCTACTTCTCATTTTTCATTTTGCTTTTATAATTTTGGTTTCTCCAAAAGAGGCATGAGTCCCTTAGAGAACAGTCAGGCGTTTCTAGCAGGCCTCTTATTCCAGCCACCCCAACGGAACAAGATAAGTGAGCGATGACAGGTTTTCTGAGGCGGGGATTAACTGACATTGTTTCTGCCAGCCTCCAGTTGGGACTGGCAATTCCAGCGTTGTGATTAAGGATGGATTGAATCATGTGCTTAAGCCTATCTCCAAGCAAGAACAGGTCTATATTTTGGTATATGATTCAGTCCTGCTAGGATGTTTCAGTGGTGATTATAAATGAAAATGCTTTCATAAATCTCCTTGATAGGAGCAGCCTATTACTGCTGTGCTAGAACGTCACCAAGTCCCTGACTCACAGAGGCTACTTAAAGCCCCTCTAAATTGCACTCTGCGGGACACCGGCAGCTCTCTGCTCGTCCTCTTTCCCACTCTGTTATCCAAGACAAATTTGTAGCATTTGAAACCATTACATGAATTGCCAGTCCTAATTTAGATGCAGTTTCAAAGATGGCACATGTGCTTTAAAGGATCTATGTCAGGATTGTCTTCAAGGTTAACTCTTTGTTTAAAAAAAGAGTGCTTTGATAGTCTTTGTGCCTCGTCTCTGGTGTTGACAGTGTGGACTCCGCTTCTGTGATTAGGTGGGGTGGCTACGGATGTGCCAGACAAGGTGCTTGCTAACCGGCAAGGAGCAGCGCTGCTTCCTTTAAGCAAAACACAGCCTCAAAAAGAGATGCAAAGGTCTCAGTTGTCATGTTACTACAAAGTTAAAGGGGTGTCTATTTTTAAATCCATTACTTAAAAATGGATTAATAAAGGGGGAAGAGGTCATTATATAGCATATTGTAATCCTCCAGCCCTGGAAGCAGGAGCTGTATGATAGTTACAAATCTCAGTAACAGTGAGTCAGGGGAAAAAAAATCTTTGGGTTCTGGTCCATGAGAGCAGGGAACTTCTTTTGCTCACATGGTGATGTCAGCTGGTTTGCTCTCCTTCTGGCGCTCACTTAAATTGTGAGCTCCTTTGCGATCTGAACTGAACAAAACAATAGCAAAGTGGGTGGGAGAAATAACGACAGCTTTGTCTTGAACTTGCATTTGGACTTCACCATATATGTTGTTAGAAACAAATAGTTTGCTTCCACTTGACAGTGACTTCATCCAGAGCAGGGCTGAGTCATAATGCCTATAGTACAGCTCTCCCAGGAGGTTCACGCTGGCAAAGTTTATGCAATTGCGGAGCAGCTGAGAGCATAAAATTCTCTCCTTCTCCTTCCCTCTCCCCCCTCCCCCCCAAGATCCACCATCCTCTTAAAGTACAGCCAGCAAACAGTGCAGACTGCAATATTCCCATATTCAGTATAAAAGTGATTGAGGAAAACCTCAACTAAATATATAAGGTAAGAAAATGGCTTAAAAGCAATCAGAGGATTTGTCTGCACTCAGGGAACTAGTGATTTCAATTTGATAACTGAAAACACCCAAAATAGCTGTTAGTCTGATTAAAGCCTTCATTGTAATGTAATTCACACTACTGTGTATCTGAGTGTTCATAAAAGCGTTGAAATGCTCTGTTTTTATGCCTTCAGTTCATACTTCTAGTTTTCCTTAACTTTCTGGGATGCTCTTCCTTCCTACCTGGTGGATCTTTAGGGATCCCTTCATTTGCCATGCCCTGATTTCACCAAGGCTTGCTATTGCTGAGCAAAAATCCTGTGCTAGTATAGAGGGCTGTGTGGTGTCTCCTCAGACCGCTGCTGTAACTGATGATCTGGGTTTCAGGCTGGAGGCAGTTCTCTGTATACGTGCCTCTCCTTTTCTGTCTCTTTGCGGTCATCAGTAAGCCGCGTGTCAAGCCTTTCTGAAATGTCTTGCACCCAGGAATCATCTCCGAGTATTCAGGTTCTCCACTGTTCACACTGTGCAGCTTTCAGCCTTTCACAAGCACAGCTTCAAAGACACATATCAGGTTTTGAGGAACTTCAGTATCTGTGCTGGGGCCCTCGCAGATGTGTAGGTGGTGCTGCCTGCCCTTTAGCTGTACCCCCAGAGAGCAAGTTGTGCGCCAGGCTTTTCTGTCGGTGTCTGGTCTCTACCGTATTTAGATGCAACTGATGGGCAGGCCCTAGGGCAGTCACATTTAAATGGTGCATTTGGCTATGAGCCTACATGGATTGGAAGCTTTCTGAGTTTCCTTTGATAGTCATCCAAGATTAAGTCACAGAAAAGGGCGTCTGGGAGCACGGTGGTGGCTGGAGACACACGAGGAGCCTGTCAGTGACTGCAGCTGGAAGGATGCTGCAGGGGCCTCTTAGAAGCACCACAAACCTGCCAGCTTGTGGGGATGAGAGGGGATGCCCTTTATCAAAATGCCAAAATCACGCTGGCTTTATTCTGCAGAAGGACCGGTATGTGGATGTCACTGCTGTGAGCTCCCAGAAAACGTCGTTTTGCATGCTCTTAGGAATGTCTGAAAAATCAGAATAGGAAGTTAAAAAGGGAAGGAAAGAAAACATGGTGGAGGCTGAGGAAAAAAATGTAGTGAACATAATTTATTTAAACCTCTTCCCCAATTTAATGAACATGTTGACCTGTTACAAGCTAAGGGTTTAAAGATGCCCTAAATTGCCTTAAAAGCCAGACTGCTTTTCATTTTAAAAAGTTAAAACTGTCTATTTGCAAGGCTTCTTTCAATCCTTAATTGGTAATAGCTGCTGTCTAAAGGCAATGTTACCTAAGTTAAAAATAGGTCTGGAACTCTCCTGACAACCAAAAACATGTGTGATGGTTGCTAGCCCCAGCGCTCACAGCTTCTTTTGTTAAATGCCCTATAAATATAATCTACTTACTAGTAGGAACACTGTTAAATTCTGTTTCCTGATCATTTGTCCTGGTAGAAACTTGAGGAAAATAAGTGAATTGCCACCTTCACTCGTGAAGCCTGCAGTATGCCTGTTTCCCTCTTCATGGGAATGTTACACTAACCGAATTTAGGGTGAGCCTGTGCACAGCTGAAGTAGTAAGGTTATCTTGGCTGCAGATATGTCATGCGGAAAGTGATGCACATCCGGAGTGCGTGGCTGTGTCAGAGAGCAGACCAGATAAGGTGTCCTGGGTGCTCCGTTCTTCTGAGCCCCTTCACAGCAACTTCTGCGCCAGGGGCTCGGCGTGCTCAGCTCCCCCTGAGCACTACCTATTGTTCAGGCTTCAGTGCAGAATGGGAATGAATCTCGAGAGGCAGGAGAGCAATAGAATGGGAGCCTCCAAATTCAGCATCCTGGCTATTAATATAATTTGAAAGTAACGTACCACCTACAGCTTCTACAGGAACCTTAGCTCTAGCATTTTTTAATACTTGAAGTGATTTACGTACCTGGTAATATCTTTGCCTGGAGAAGCTTTTTTTTTTTTTTTTTCCAGTGTTTAAAAAAAAAAAATATTGAAATCCTCCAGTTCTCCTTCATTTCTGTCATTTCCCACCCTGCTCAATCCCCCATAATATATATATATATATATTTATTTATTTACTTATTATTTTCTTTTAAGGAATTTGTGTGCTCTGCTTCACCATATAGGGGAGTGATGGTGGCTCTGGGTTCTTCTTAGCAATAAAAAACGCTGAACGAACCGTATTTCTGATACTAAACCATGTGCTGTGTGCTTGGAAGTGTCCAAGTTGAGGGCTCTGACAAACAACTTCTGTTGAATTCATTTCCAGTATTTTTTTTTTTTGGTACTGTTTCTTCCAGTTGTTTTGACTCCCCCCCGCTCCAGCCCAGCATTTCTGTGCCCACTCAGAAAGCCAAAAAATGCTTGTCTCAGCTGTCCCAGGTTGTCTTGGTGCAAACTCACCTGCAGCAGCAGTCGCAGCCAGAGCTACAGCCAGCAGGTGGGAGCAGTGGAGAAACAGGCGGTCTTCGTGCTGACTGCAGCAGACAGCCTCAGCCTGGCGGTGAGGCAGGGAGAGCCCCGTGCAGGTGCGTTTTCAGCTGCCTCAACCATTTGCTCAGCTCTCATAAGGGAATGCTGGTAGCACGACATCACCTTTCTCTGAGTTGGCAGTTGTGTCTGAATTAAAGATTTCTTCCTGAAAAGACACAATATTTTTTACAAAGTTGATTGGTTTGCCTGTTATATACACAGTGTAATGCAACTCTGGGACAGCTGGCGTGTCCACTCAGTGCAGAAATGGGGACACAAACCTGGGGCGAAGCCTCGGCAAACATGACATTCTGATGCAGGGGACAGCACTTCATTAATACACCTACTACTATCTCCATTGAAAATAAAACACAATGATGAGTGGGTTTGGAAACGCCGATGTACTGAAGTGGGAAGAAATGTTGGAAGGAGGCAGAGCTCCTTGCAGCTTCCCATTGCAGCTTGGCAGCATGGAGGCAGCTTACAGTGCGTGCACCGTTAGCAGGGCACCACTGTGGGTCTGGCCCCAGCGGTGCTGACGTGGCTGCTGAAAATGAGCGTTGTGCTGTAGATGACTTACAAGCAAGGAAAATTTAGTAAAGGTTTCCAAGGAGTATAATGGAAGAAAAAGAATCCAAGTACATCTGTTTGGGGAGCTCCGCTTCATACAGGGCCTGGTCCCATGCACAGCACAACTGGGTGGATGCAGTGATGTCCTCTGAATGGAATCTGTTGTTTCATTTCAAGGGGAAGAGATAACCAAAGTTTTTATTGCCACACCCAAAGAGGAATAATAAACCAGCCAGGCAGCAACCGTCTCCAAACATCCCTCGTTACCACCCCATAGTCTCTGTGTTGGCTGGGATTACTTGGCCAAGCATGTGAGTGTGGGAGAAGACTGTCACTGGAGTCATTACGATAGATTATGATTGATGTACAAAATGGAAAATCCGTGTCAAAGGCAGATGTGATGCCAAAAGGCCCCTGCGGTGCTGGGGCTCATCTTGACTTGTTATACAGTGAAAGCAAACAAGGCTTCAAAAAAGTGAAATCATTTGATATGCTAATCTGTGTCTTGTTTCAGGCATAGTAATGTCACTGCGAACAAAGGAAAAGAAGGTAAACAGCTAAGACAAAGGGGACATTGTCTTCCTCCTGCTGGAAAAGCTCTATTCCCAAACAAGATTTTTCTTAATAGTAAGAAATAGCTGATGGGACAATTTTGTCTTCAATATCTCGTTACCTCCTTAGCAATCACACTGTGAGGGTGATGTCTTTTGAAAAGGCAGCATATCTTGAAACAGAATTAGCCATGGGCTTTGATTAATTGCCAGTTTGCCTCATCCATGTGTGTACAGCAATCATCAGCTACAGCTGAGAACACCGGCACCTGCAGTTGGTCAAATCAAGCCCACACGAAGCTTTACAGGATGCTGTTAGGCTTAGGCATACCTCAAATATCATTTCAGTGAGAATTCCAGTCTTTTTTTTCTTTATACCTACACCAGAATAAATAGCATTTATGTACATCTGAGATCTGATCATAGACCCAAAATACTGATGTACATCAACTCATAGCACAGTTTGCACAGTATTCAACATTTTCTGTGTGTGTATTATTTTGTATTTGCAGGCTGCCTATCAGCTCTAAATTATTCCAAATTTGGGCCTGCTGTTCCCTGCAGAACGAATGCTTGCTTTGTGGAGAGCTAACTTGATTTGCCTTGGTCGCGTTGGGAATTAGCGAACAAACTCAGCTCATCAGGAGAGGAACTGAAACGCTCCATTTGCTCTTTCATAAAACTGTAGTCTTCCTCCCATGGTAAATGCTGCCGCAATGACTTAAGAGAAAAGGGGAAAAAAAAAAAGGCAAAGAAAAGGAAAAATAAGAAAAGGCAGCATCTCAGTTTTGTCCTATGATGCTATCGCATGTTATTTTAATCCATTTGATCACTGGATATGCATAAATGCTAGAAACATGGATGAAGCAAGTGATTAATACTCTTGTATTTAAAGTCTCTTGTAGATCTCAGTATGACATCCACCTTAATCTATCTTTAGAGACATAAAATACTGTTGCTGCAGATGCTGATAATGTCTAAATATTGCACTTGAATGTGAATCAAGGAATGCATAATATAAGTACACCGATTACACTGATGCCTCAAATACATGCTCAAGTAGAGGTAGGTGACACCAATAAGCATGCTGTTTGCTAGCTTTATACTACACCAAAAATAAACTACTGTTTGTTTAATACTTCATATATAATGGGCTTATTTATGCTAAATCAAGTATTCCAAGTGTACACCATACACAAGTAAGAAATACGGTATCATGGGTGCCCCATCTCTCAAATTCGCATGTTAAGGTGATCAGGAGCATTCAGCTGATCTGCCTGAACTTTCATAGCTTTTTCCATCATTTAAATGGATTCCAATGGTTATGTTAAGAACAGGTCTGTAAGTTTTCTAATGCAATTTTTCTCCATTATGTCTACTGATTTAAAATGTATAATGTGCTGTGGAACTTGTTCTAACTTTTTTTATGAGCTGTCAGTCGCTTATTCCTGGAATCGTTGTCAGAAAATCACTGAAACAGAATCTATTTCAGACTAGTAGTACCAGTCATGAGATCCTAGATAAAATGGTCTTGTACAAAATGGAGTTGTGCAACAGAAAACAGACATTTAATCATAAAAGCATACTGTTCTCCCAAGAAGTAGCATGAACTTAGTTTCTTGCTTAATTAAGTTTTATAATATAAACATTCATTTAATGTCTTTGATCCAGAAGAACCCCTGATAACTGTGCCATTGACCTCTTTGCAGAGAAGAGAGTGTGGTCTAGTGGGCTGAGCTTTAAAGGCTCGCGAAGTTTTAATGTCATAGCAACAACGCTGACATTCTGGGTGGTCTCGGAGAAACCAGGGTAGGATTTCAAGGACTTGTGTTTCAGTTAAAAATAATAACAACAACAAAAATAATAAAACTTCTCTATATAGGGTGATTCTGCGTGTTTGTTGAGGCTTAAATCCTATTCAACGTTTTGGTGATAAATGCAGTGCACTTAAACTAAATCCTTGAAAAATTAAGGGCTAAATTCTCCAGCGTAGTATAAAAAGCAGCAGTGTAAATATTTAATATTCTGCATAAATCCCCATCATCATTGAGAAATTGTGTGTTATGTCATGCATGGGGTTGGGGTTCTTTTTGAGGGGTAAATATTGTCATGAAGACAAAATCCAACCATCACTTAGCTATCTGTGAGGTTTCAGGACAATAAGGGAATTCTGTGAGCAAAGTAAGTTTTGTGGTGTTTTTTAGTCAGATTTTACTGTTTTATTTTTGATGTACTTTATAAGCTAAGTGTCATAGCTGACATTCACTATTGAAAGCCACAGCTTTGTGTTCAAACACAGCCTTAGAAAATGACTCATTACTTCTTTTAGCACTACGAAGTTTATTACAGTACACGAGAAATTTTGCAAACAGCTGGGAGTTTGTTCAGCCTCAGCCATATCATTTAGCGAGTTTGGTAAGCCCTCACAGATCCAGTAAGTGATTTGCTAAGGCCCTCTTACTGGGCTGGGTTTGTTGTTGTTGTTGTTTTTTCAAGTGGAATAAATGAAACCAATTTCTGTAGGTGCTGCATAGGTAGGTTTGTCTTTCTTGACAACTTGGAGCAATATTATATGTGGCTTTCTGAACAGCCTCTAATAATCTTCTCTGGCTTGCAAATAATGTAAACAACAAGTCTTGTAAATCACGAAGAAAGAAGTAACCCGAGACTTCAGATGAGAAAGCTGGCTTCTCTCTGAGTTCATTTGAGTGGAGGTCGGAGGAATCACTTGGAAATCGTGAATCAGTGCTTGGCGGCTGCATGAACCTTGGACTAACTTTTTCGTATGCTGCTAAACTTTCTTGTTCCTTGAGTTACTTGGAATCGTTCTAACTTTGCAAACACTTCAGAGGAGGTCATGAAGGGAGATGGCAGTGCAATGTGGAATCTGATGTGGAAATACTGCATTTCTGTCAGGACGATCAGGTACAGTAAGAGTATTTAAACTTTACTTTCTGGTAAGTGTCTGAAAGCTGCATGCGTTGTCTCTTCCCCTGCTTGTATTCTTTTGCCCTGCATAGTTAACTCTAAGTAGTCTGAGATGCTTGTTTGGGTAGCTTCTTTCTTGTCCTTATACTAAAGCTTTGAAAGGAAAAATACAGGGTTACTGTAATCAGTCTTCAAGGAAAGAGGAGTTTTCATGATTTTGGTCTTGGAAATACCTCTGCCTCATTTGCAAGCAAGCGGAATTTGGAATATGAAAGAAACCTGACTTTCATGAATATTTGCCTATCATCATCTTTTATTCATTGTATCTCCCAAATCCGGAGATTAAGCATGTGTTTAGCATGCTGCAAGCATCATTTGCTTCAGACAGAGGAGAAGGGGGAGAAAAGAAGGCGGGGGCTTTTATGGCAGGATACAACTTTAAGTTTCAAACGTCTCTAAGTGAGTGTAGCGCTCGTATCTTACCTGTGTGCATTGTGTGAAAACACAGCCGAACACAGGGAGATGACAGGCTGTGGCTGCCGTGCATCGCCGGTCGCGTTCTTGGAGTGGTTCGCGTTTGACAAGCTGCGTGCTCCCTGCCAAGCACACTGCTGGAGATTCCAGTAGAGTTTATTCCAGGAATGGAGCTATTAAGTGAGACACTTGGTGATTGTGTGTTCTCACAGCAATTTTATGTATTTAAAAATAGCTAGCCATTCTCATGATATAGTTTCTTCATGTTTCGGGGCTATATGATCTGAATGGTGCATTCTGTCATGCAAACTTCCCTTGAGAAATCACGTAATCTAAATAATTACTGCATTTCACACTGCATAATTATTCTGTGCTGAGGAAAGAGGTTAGAGAGCCTGGATTCCTACATGAACGTTCATTACAACCAGAATGATGCTGTGGAGAGCTTTTATCATCAGGATGCTGAAATAAAGCTGAAAAGCCACTTAGTTCCCAGCAGAGAGCAAGTCAATACGGCAGAAACTGGAAATAACCCCTGAGAGAGGATTCAGTTAAAATAAGAAATTTTATTTATGATCTAGCTTTGGAACCAGAAATAGAGGGAAAGTCAGAAATGAACCAAATTCATGCTTAAATACAGAGAAACAGTCATTGCAGCATAGATATTGATCCTGACCTTAGTACTGCCGGAAATTTCTGAGAAAAGTCCAATGCACAGCTCAGGCTATAAAAGCAAGCGTCCCTCACAAGACTGAGCTTCAAAGGTTCCTCGTACTATTTGGGTGTGGCTGTTTTTCTAAAGCTTAATGTGCAGATTTTGCTCACCTATAAACAGCCACATCTCTCTCTTATCAGTGAATTTACCACTGGTCAGAGTATGCAGGTTGAACATTAGCTTCATAGCTTACAGTAGTTGCTTATTTATAGAGCAGCTCGCTGGCTCTCAGCTAGCATAATGCAAAATAAAGTTGGTTGTTAAAGTGCTGCGAGCATTTTCAGTTTTCAGTTGTTGGTTGTTCTAACACAGCGTATCTTCATTGCAAGCAACATCAATGAATCTGAGAGCATAAAGAAAATATTTCCTTTGTGGAAAAAGATCTCTACCACCTTAATTTGCTTTCCTGTTATCTTTCAGGAATCCTGAGCCTCTCCCTGCATTCTAGGAGGCTGTCACTAACCGTTCTGGCTCATGTCTATATCCACCAAGTATGAGGCTATACCAGTCTTTCTCCCTATCTGCCTCCTCCCATTTCTAGGGAACTGTGAAACCCATGCAGCCCCTGCTGGAGATTTCAGTCAGCTTAGGCACATCTTATTTAGGGTTACAGTGAGCTTGTTTTTTCCCTCTGTGTGCAAGCCGCCCTGGTAAAAGTATTCCTACACGCCCTGGGTGCCACCGCACCAAACAGCAGGGCATTGCCCTGACTACACTGGACCAGTTGTACTTGGGCTTCTAACGAATGTGCAGAGCCTGAATGAGGGGTTTTATGCCTGAGAGAGAAAACAGTCCCACTCAAAAGGAAAACTGTTAGTGCTGGGCTTCAGGGTTGGGCTTGTTTTCATTGGAATCCAACTGCTTTAAAAAATTGACTTAGACTTTGTTGTCTGTTTTAATTAGACCGTGTGCCTTGGGGGAAGAGAGCATCTACATCCATGTGTATGTGCCTAAGTTTACCCTGACTAGATCTTAAAATTGTAGGGTCATGCCTGTCAGCAAGGTGAAACACATGTAGCAGTAGAAGAATTAAGGCACAGAATGCAGCGGTTTGTTTTTTACATGGGGAAGCTTTAAGTCACGTTGTAGTAAGTGTAGGAGAGGGCGGCACAGTGTGATATGGAAAAACACTGCGCTGTCTAGATGTCTTTTTTTTTTTTTTTTTTTTTTTTCCTTCTGCAGGGTGTTTGCCTACTCCTGTAGTGAAATTAGAAGAATTGTAAAGATGAAGGGATTTCCTCACTAGCATACCACAGCTGAGCTTGTGCCACTTAACAGGAGACTTCTGTTCTGTCCAAGTGCTCAGCTCCCTGAGCCGCTGGGAGCCTCTGATGCTACCAGGTTATCCCATGGGGCAGGAGAGGCAGTGTGGCTGTGCTTACGGCATGTCATAGGTAGCAGGACAAGCCCTGAGCCCCGGGACAGTGCTCTGCTAGAGCTGGTCCCCAGCTCTCAAGAGGGAGCATTTTCATTCCTGACCAGTTTGCCTGTTTCCACCCCCCGGGATCTGGGCTCCTGATCCTCTTCCCTAAGCCAGGTCTGACCTCCCCTAGGCCAGCAGTGGCTCACACCACACCACGCCGTGCCATTTTTTACTCTCCTTGGCTACAGCGGTCACTACCCACACAAGAGGTGTTACGTGTTCCTCCCCAGAAGCACTGCAGGTTGTCGCTGATATTCCCGAGGAAGGGAAGAGCACTGTCTGTCAAGGGGACTGCTCCTGAGCGGGGGGCAGAGCAGTACCGCTGCTGTGCTGTCACAGCTACTGCCCTACTGCCCTTCTTCCTCAGCCTGTGCCTGGAGTGTTACATGCACAGGGGGCAAACTGCCCTTCCCACTGCTCCGAGGTTCACTTTGGGGCAATATTTCTCTGAAAAACAGCTCTTTCCTCTTCTGGTGAATGCCTACTTGTTCTGCTATTTGCAGGTGGAAAGCACTCCCAAAATCACAGTTGGCAAAGCACGAAAGCAGCACTGGGGTGAGAGAATCAGGCATTTACTTCATGTTAAGGTTGCATTTCAGTCACGCACCATAGGTGGGAGATAGGCGAATATTTAGTTATAAAATAGTTTGTCAGCATATTCAGATTAGCTGTCGCATTTATAGGGTTACATCGGTGTGCACAGAGAGGAGCGTGTTACACCAAGCCTGGGAGCAGCCCGGCTGCATGCTGAATTACCCGGGCTCTCAGCAACACGCCACATGCCAGTCAGCCCCGAAGGATGGGGTTAGTGGTTAGAGGAGCAGACTGGAGCCGTCTGAATCAGCAGATCCACAGCCCGCAGAGAATAAATTAAAGGTTTATAATAATGTAACGCATAGTTTTCAGCTTGCATCTTAAAAGTTCCGTTTGCAAGTAATGGAGGAAAATTGTCAATAGTTACTTCTCAGTGCTCTACACATCTGGAAAAAAGTAAGAATCAGTCTTCAGTATGAGTTGTCATGGAGTTTCTTCACTTATTTTCCTTCTGCTACAAACATTTTCCATTTTGGTTCAGTCATACTTTATTTTTAGTCATCTGCTTTGTTTTTTCTAAGGACTGACAGAACAGTGCTGCGTTTTCGTCAAGAAAAACCAGCACCCTGACGAGTGAAAGGGTCTCACTTGAGCCTTAGTTGCATTTTGGGCAGCATGAGCTGGTTCAGTGGTGGTACTGCCCCCACACTGCAGCTCCTTGCTCCTGCCCCCAGGCTGCCCGTGCATGGTGCCAGCACAGGCGTTGCACATCCATGCAGGAAAGTCAGCTGGAAAAAAAGGTCTTGTTTCTCCCAGGCGGCTGCAACAGCAAGGTTCACCACAAGGCCACACAAAAATCTTGTGCTAGCACTGGGTATGGGAGTATAGCAGGCAGTGGGAGGGCAGGGGACACGGAGCTCACAGCTGCAGTGACACTTCAGCCCCAGGAGCTGCAGCGGGCTGCATAGACAGGGCTGAAAGCCGAGGGTGGAGGTAGTTTGTGCTGTAGGTGATGGGAAACTGTCCTCTGCTGATACTTGCCACTTGTTATGGCTGTTTAACTGTCACACATAGCCAATGACAATGGGGTATATATTCAGGTCTATAATTTATGCACTTTGTTTTCCATCTGAAATGGAAACTAGAACACTGATCTCAGATATTCCTCCTGGCAACTACAGGGCTAATGCCTATACAGCTTCTCAGAAAAGGAGACTGATACGTTTTGTTATAGCAGTAAAGAATGGAGTTGGAACCTTTTGTTGAGATCAGGCATTATCAAAGTGATTTTCTTCTAGTTGTTCTATGGCTTAAGCTCTAACAAGATTTACTGGGGGTTGGGGGGAATAACCTGTAAGATTAAAATAACAAAACAAAAACTCTCAGGTCTTCCATATTGACTCCTGAACTTCAGAACATGTTGATTCTGTATTCAGTTTCTGTGTGGGTTTGTTTGTCATCTTGAAATCTGCATTGTCATCTTGAAATACTGCATCTGGAAAGCTACGAGACAAAGCTGAATGCAAGCTGTCATTAGCAGTCTGGATGCTTTAATCATCAGCCAGTGGATGGCTCTATATAGCCATTACTCTTGTATTTTAATACAGTACAACTGTAATTATCCTAGCGCAAACCTTCCTTTGGGTTAAAAGATCTCTGCAGAATGACAGTGCCAATAGCACATTGCAGTTAATGAATTTTTAATAAGCTCCTGATTCCAGTGTAACAAATCATTGCGAGGTTAGGATGAAGGTGGCGCCTTCAGAATCCTGAGTTAGGAGGTGTGAACGTGTCCTCGTGCACTTTGCATAATTAAATAATAAAATATGTTCGTTGGTTACATGTGCCGTGTTTCTCCTATTGTCTTTGGTCTATGCATAGGAATCTGGAGAGGAAATCATTCTGGTATTAATTCACCTGAACTCAGTTGTTCTTCCTAAAGCAGACTTGCTCAAGGGGTGAATTACCCCGTGCTTTGGGTTTGTTTAGGGTCCGTATTATTTTTAACTGCCTTTAAATGCTGCTCATTTTCAGCTAGGGTGTATTCGTGTTTACACAGATAGATTATTTCAGCCTGATTGTTAATTTAAATTAGTGGTTTGTGACAAGTTCAGGAAGGGCATGCTGAGCTGTGACAGGTTGCAGATCTGGTGGTGCAAGACCAGCCCCTCATCAGTTCTGTTTGCTTCCTTGCTATGAGCGCTTGTTAAAACGCTGCTGCTTGGTACTTCCACATGCACTCTCCATCTTTGTACACCATCTGCAATGTTATTGCTAAAAGCTAAAAATTTATAGGCAAGGACTGTTAGAGACAGTAGATGATTTAAATGTTATTGCTAAAAGCTAAAAATTTATAGGCAGGGACTGTTAGAGACAGTAGATGATTTAAATGTAATCCCTGTTGGACTTGTAGTGTAACAGAACTGCCACGGAAGCTGCAATATTTGCAGGTAATTAAGCCTTTCTTCACCTGGAAGTCTTTCAGGGTGAGGGTATGCAAACTGCCAGCCCAGCAGTAGTGCTTCTTGGTTGTGTGCTTTCCTGTACAAAGAGCCAAGGTACTTAAGAACTCGAAGACTGTGGGGTGTTGTTTGCTAAAGAAGGGTCAAATAATTCCTAAACTGAGTGGTGAACCAGTGTGAGGTCTGAAGGCTGCTTTTGGTCGCTGCCATGTTTTATTCTAAGAGTGTTGTTCTTTATTTTAAACCTGCGTCTACAGAGTTGTTCCTGTATAAAAGGACCTGATGCCAGTTTAGCTAAACTGACTTAAAAAAAAAAAAAAAAAAAATGAATTAGCTGGAGTCAACTTCTAGTGCTCTTCTGGGTTTTCATCTTTTTGTGTTAAAATAGATGCATCAGGCTTTAGCTCAAACCTTTAGTTTGGGCTTAGAGCAGCCCTAGGTTGAAGCTGTGCCACAGCTCTGTCCTTTCATGGTATGGAGCATAATGAATATCGAAATCCTAGAAGTCAGAAACCTAATCCCAGGCATTCTAGAGAAGTTAACAGACTGTTTTATTATTTATTTACATAATCAAGCTCAGAGGAGCTACTTGATGCAGAACCATAGGTTACTATGGTAAAAGTGTTTGCCTGCTTGGCACCTAGAATGCTTCCACTGCTGGTCTTACTGCTTCGCAGACCCACCTAGCAATTGTCTTTCAGGATTTGTTTTGAAAGGGTACTGCTTTTGATGTTCTTAGGTTGCCCAATTGATTGGTTTGTGGGTTTTTACCATATTTTGAGAACTCCTGAAGCTGTCTTTCAGCTTGTATCTTTTGGCACTGAATGCAGAAACAAACAAACACACGCTGTATGGAAGTGTTACCTGCTTGTAGATTTGAAGAGGATTATTTTTCTGCCAGATTGTAAAGCAAATTAGGTAGTGAGAAAATAGAGCTCTGCATTAATCTGGTGTTAACAAGATGTTGCATGTTCCGGAAGGAGTCAGATGACTTTTTAGTAATTGGTGAGTACTGATCAATGTAATGCTTCTGAATTGTGTGATTAACATCTGTGGATGCTGTAAATTGATCATGAAAATCCTAGTATGTGAAGTGATTTTAATGAAAAAACTTCCTAAAAATCTAGGAAAGGCTTTATTCCTTTTTCAGTAAGAATTCATTTTACTATACGAGTGATATCTCATTCTTGATATGCGTTTTGAACACTGTGTAAAGCATCTTTTTTGTTTCTGTGCAGTATCTGCCTTTTCATCTTTTTTTTTTTTTTTGACAAGAATTATAAAAACAGCAAGAATTTATGCAGTAAGCAGTGTCCCATATTCAGTCATCTTTTAGCAGGAGATAGTTCATTAGTATAATTAACTGCCAGCCAGTTATTAAGTGACTTAGGTACTTGAAGTGTTATTAGATTGGTTTTTGTTTTTTCCCTGCATTTGCCACTGATGAGGGGACAGGAGCGCTGCTTCGTTACGAGAGTTCAGGATCTCAAGACAGCCGCCGTAACAGACAAAAAAATCAAAGCTGAATTACCTCCCTATTTATTTCAGACCATCAAATCTGACTAGCTAATGACCCTTAAGCAAAACTTGAGGTAAGCAAGGCATGGTTGCCTGACCTGCTACGCTCCTGGAGCGCTTCCATGAGGAGAGACTCCTCAGGCTTAAACCTGCATGCTGCAAACTGATTGATTAAAAATTAAATATGTTTTTGAGTTGGTCACACCTGTGTTGATCTGCTGGAAAGGGCTCAGCAACATGCAAAGCATTTTGCATTTAATGAATTCTCAGTCATTTGTGGTAGCAGAGTAATGAAGAGTATTCTTTCATACCGTCAGGGGGCCACTTTGACAGTGTAGTGGGGCCCAGTTGGTACAGGGAGCAGCACCAATGCTGGAAGTTACACAGGAGGAGTTGTCACCCTGACAGCAAGCATTTTGGTTCAGCAATCTCTAAAGTTCTTTATTTTCACACATTTATTTTAATATTGATGTCTTCCTGGTCACTACCACATGCCATGTTGTCCTGTGCAGCAGGCTATGTTTTCAGGCACAGTTCAGTTACCATTTTCTGTCCACTTGGCAGTATTTGGGCATCAAGCAATGCGATCTTTCAGGGGAGATCCTTGATAAAGGTATCTGAACACTTACACTGCTGCATTAGAGCAGAATGAGTTCCTGTGACCACGTAAAGCCGTGATGGCCGTTCTGTGCTGCCCATCACTGGCTGAGCACCGTACGCAAAGCAGAGCTGGTGTGCAGCTGAGTTGCTGGAGAAGCTGCGCCCCAGTCTGGGCTCCATTGTGCAGTTAGCATTAGCTGCGTGCGCTGTCACTGCCTGGACAAGAAGTTATTCACTGTGACCTTTAGCAGAGCTCTGATAATACAATTTCACCTGCAGCCTGCATGTTTTTTGTGTTAAAGCAAGAGATATTTCCCCAAACCTGAGCAGGTTATAATAGCTCTGTCAAAAAGGCCGAATGCAAAGCCAGTGCATGCTGATGCAGGGGGAAGTATGACCTTTTTGATGCTTGGGAGCCTTCAGAATATGTTATAAATCTTATGAATAATGTGCTTTTCTATTAAAAGGACAGTTGGGTTGCAATCTCAGCCATGAATTACTGCCCTTACGTACGCTGTAAAGCTTCTGTTGCCCACAGGCTTTGGAAGAAGATCTCTTTGGCTGATGCTTTCTGAAAGTTTTTTCCACCTCTTGACTTTTAAATGACTTTTTGGCTATTTCTCCTCTCTTAGTAGCTGGCAGGGGGAAAGTGCATGACTATGATCAGTCCTTCCTCAGCAAGAAGGTGTTTATTGACCGCCTCTCAGCAGTCCTGCTCGGAGGAGCGCCTGGTCCTACAGCTGCTGCAGTCCTGAAGCTGTAGGTAAAGCAGCTGGGAAATTTCAGAGAAAATTGGGGAAAGGAGATGCTGAGCTTCTGACGCCTCCTGGAAGATAAAAGGCAAGTTTCTACTATTGCCTTGGATTCTCTCATCCAGGAGTGAGTCTTGTTTTCTTTTGGAAGAAATAAAAGCTAGATAGAAATAAAAGCTGTTATTGACAGATATAGCTATGAAAAAGGCTATATAAAAGGCATAAAAGCAGCTTCAAAGATGTTATTGTTTTTTTATAATGTCCTAAGGAAATAGAAGTTGATAAAACAAAAGTTTGAGAACCAAATTAGTAGTTACTCTTAGTTAAAATGCATATTTTTAATCTTAGGCATTCAGCTTAGTTTCAAAGCCCACTTGCAATTTACTTAGAATTGTTGGATGTCCACAAGATGCCTGCAGACCTGTATGCTGCTAAATATGAATTCTGCGTAGGTAGACATATTTGTATTAGCAGATGTTTGTATGGTCTAATTCCCTTTCATGCTTAAATCAGGAAAAATGAACTATTTTACCACATCAGTGAAGTAGGGACAGATTGGTCTTCTGAATAGCTTATTATCTGTCTGAAATTATCTTTTGATGCTTGAAAATAAATGTGAAGTAGGCATTATGAAAGGCATACTTTTTAATCTGTTTGGGAGAGATGTTTGAATTGCTGTAGGCACACAGCTCTCAGTTTAAGCACTTTACCACAAATAGCAATACTCAAGATTTCTGTCCTGCAGTGTACTCTACTGTGATTTTTCTGGACACGTATGCAGAGACCTGATGATAGAATTTCACTCAGTCTGTATATTTTCAAGTTGATGTAACAAACACTTGTGGAGGAAAGGGGCCAGTGAGATGGATAAATACCTGACTTCTTTCCAAGTGGCCAGTATTAATTCTTTAAAAACAAACACATGGAAAAGAAGCTGTACCTTAAAGTCAATTTCTTGAAAACCTTGTCCCAAGTTGTTTATTCTCTTTCAGGATCTGAAGCCACTGCATTTTACTGGTTATTCTACCTGCTTTTTCTAAGTACTTGAGCAGATTTGTTATTCAGGTTATTGAGACTTGCACAGCAGTTCATACCAGCATCTTGTGAGACTACTCCCTCTAATGCCAGCCTTGCAGGGACAGGCCTTGGAGTGTCTTCGAGTAAGAATGGGGTGGAGATTGAGAATTTATGCTGAAAGGAGTGTAGATTATATTTCTTAGGTACTTTTTGTGCCAATGCTCTTCTAGCCTGCTTCCTCTCATCTGATTGTTCTGGCACTTTGGTTTTGGGGGTACAATTCACTGTGCTACGTGGTGATAGGTAAGCAGAGGAATCCAGGATAAGAATAGACTGCCAGAAATGGGTCAGGGGTAATGGGCTAGCGTCATCAGGGCTTCTTACGCCATTGTCACTTGTGGAGGAAATGTTTAGCAAACAAAAGTGTAACCACACTGACAGGGCCATTTCCTCTAAAATAATGAAACAATGAAGTTTTTAAAGAAATTGGGAGTGGGCTCCCTTAAAGCATATCTGCCAGTATGTGCCATTTCAAAGCAAAGATGGAGGGGCTGTTATGCAAAGATATCCAAAATGAAAGTCATACGCTTGCTGAAAGACACATAGCAGAAGCATAGCAAGTTATTTCAGCTTGTTTTTCTTCAAAAGGAAAAAGACCTGTGCAAGTTACTTCTGTATCTGACCCTCTATTTCATAGCATGTACCCAAATGTTAAGTAAGCTTATTGGCTTAGTAGTGTTTTATATCAATATTTGATCATTTCCTCAGACTTAAAAGAAAATGCAGCGTACTTCAGGCACTAAAGAACCTTACGGGAAAGCTAGGAGTGCACTGGGGGAGCTTTGTGAGTAGTCAATAACCTAAAGCTTTCTTGAGGAGGGGGAAGATGCTTGCTTTGCATTTGTAAATATGTCAAAGGGT